GAAGCGTATGAGAATGCCACGATCTATAAGGAAAAGAGTAAAACCTTTCATGATCAACGAGTTTCCAGAAAATCTTTTGTAGTGGGGACAAAAGTCCTCTTGTATCACTCGAGACTTAAACTTTTTCCCGATAAGTTGCGTTCTCGTTGGATTGGTCCATTTGTCGTTTCTAATGTGTTTCATTATGGTGCAGTGGAGATCCAAAGTTTAAAAACGGAGAAAAAGTTCGTGGTGAATGGCCATCGTTTTAAACCTTATTACGAGGGGTTCTCTATTGAAGAAGTAGAAGTTGAACACCTCCAACATCCACTTTATAATGCTTGAGCGTTTTGGCCATGTCTAGCCAAAGACAGTAAAGAAAGACGCTACTTGGGAAGCAACCCAAGACTATTTGTTTCAGTTTTCATGCATTTTTGAAGTTTTAGTTAAGTGTTAGTGTCAATTAATAGTTTGATGTTTGGTTGCAGGAAATTAGTAGTTAAGCGTGCTCACGCCAGGTGGTCACGCCTGAGGGGAAGGAATTTTCGTTCAGGTTCTACGGACTCCATAGCAGTTAGACGTGCCACGCCAAGTGGTCACGCCTGATGGAAGGAATTTTCGTTCAGGTTCTGCGGACTTCATAGCAGTTAGACGTGCCCACGCCAGTTGGTCACGCCTGATGGAAGGAATTTTCATTCAGGTTCTGCGGACTTCATGGCAGTTGAGCGTGCCCACGCTAGGTGCTCACGCTAAAAAAAAAAAAAAAAAAAAAGGGCCAAAAGACGAAATTGCCCTTATTGAAAAAGAAGAAAAAAAAACCGTAGCCCTACTTCTTCTTTTCTTCCTTTTTCTTTCTTTCTTCTTCTTCTTCTTTCTTGTCTTTTTGTCCGCCGCCGCACCTCCCTTTCTCCACACGCCGCACGATCACCGCACCGCACCTAGCCGCGCGCGACCCAGCTGCGCCGCACGACAGCACCACCAGCAGCTTCTCAGCGCGGACCACCAGCCGCAGTTCCAGCGCCTCAGCTCCACCGTGTGCGGTTCCGACGCCTCCTTCACCAGCCAAGCCCGCCTTGCTCCAGCAGCAGCCACGACCAGCAGCAACGCCGCCGCACTCGCCGCCACCTAGCCGCGCGCAGCAGGAGCCCACTGTGCGCGCAGCTTCACCAGCCACCAGCTGCCTTCGCACGGCCAGCTCGCGCGTGCAACCACCCACCGCACGCATGGATCAAGCCAGCTGTGCACGGTGCGCAGTCAACCGCCAAGCGCCTCGCCCAGCTCTTTTCTCTGCCCATCGCGACTCCAGATCGAGCAAGGCAAGGTCAGTCTGCACGCACCTGCTCGCCTACCCAGGCGTGCGCCAGACCAGCGCAGCTCTTCCCCCCTTTGCGCGCATTCCCCTGCTCTCCATTTCACTCACGGCCACTCACCCGCTCCGGGCGCAACCGGAGGCGCAGCAGCCAGCTAGCTCACGCGAGCCAGCCACGCGCAACAAGGGTCAACCGCGCGCCGCCTTCTTCCTCCTCTAGCGCCACCTGCGTTCTTTTTCTCTTCCACCCATAGCAACTACCGGTTATCCCCCATGGTGATTTCTTTCTTTAATTTTTTGTCACTAAGTAGCTGAGGCCAGATTACTAGCTTTTATTAGCTGATGACAGATTTTATTTTCGTAGCTGAGGCCAGATTCTTTTTAGTTGCTAATTGAGGACAGATATTTTGTGCTTGATTTGGGTCCTGTGCCGTATCTGTAGTTGATTGTTGCTTATTAGGTATATTTTGTGTTCAACCGGGGTTATCAGGGGGAGGTTTTCACTTCGGTTGCCTGATTATTTCGTTTTTGAGGGGGTTTTGCTCTGTTTATTTGATTAATTACTTTTTGGGTCAAATTGGTAGTATTTGGGAGAATGTTGCTGTTCATAGGCTTAATTTATTTTTGGGTGAGTTCATTGCCTGCTTTTGCACGTGATTGCGAGTGGGGAGTTGTGACTGAGAATCATTTACTTTGGGGCCACTTGTGACTTCTTTGGAACACCATTTCCTTGCCTCCACCCTGCCCTCTGCATTCAAATGACTAAACCAAAAAATAAGGGCAAGAGCAAACCTTCCACTTCCACCCCTCAACCTACGGTCCCCTTAGGGGGACCTGCCCCTCGACTGGGCCAGGAGGGCCCCGTACTCGCCTTGGACGGAATAGGGAGGTGCATATCTCCTCTCCGGCCCATTTCGGCAGCGATTTAACCTTTACCCGGGCTGCCGACAATGAGCGGTATGCCTCGGCTTGCACAAGGAAGATAATTCCTTGTAAATATATCCATGGTCCTACACTTGATATGCTAAACCTGAGGGATGAGGTCACGCAGCACTTGACTAATGTAGGCTGGACCCGCTATGCTTCTATCAATCTACCTGCTTTTATTGAACTCACATGGGAATTCTATGCTACTTTTGAATTTAATATTCCTGATGAATTCCCCGTTACCACTCTTGGGGTAGTGAGATTTCGATTGATGGGTAGAGAGTTCAACCAGTCTATCACTGAGTTTAATTTGGCTCTTGGGTTTATTGATATTCCCTACTCCCAGAGTGAGGAGTATATGCACAGTGTGTGTGAGTACTCGGAGCCATTTTTCTCTCATTACATTGATTATTGGAGAGATTTGTCGGTTGACCGCCACATCTATGACCCCAGTCAGTCTAAGGCGTCTTATCTTAAGAGTGCCGCCTACCGTTATTTACATAGATTCATGGCCTATAGTTTCTCAGGTAGGAAGGATAGCTCGGGTACTCTGACCAAACCCGAGTTCTTTTTCGTTTGGTGCATGGTCACTCGGATTAGGGTCAATTTGGGTAGCTGGTTTGCCCTCCACCTCCGGACTGTGCTAAGTAAGAAAAATAAGCCATTAATCTTAGGCTCATTTATCACTCAGTTGGCTGTTAATCTTGGGGTTTTGGAATTAAATAATCATAACTTGCATCGTGCTTGTGCTATGGAACCCCTTGATTTGGTTTGTTTGGAGAAAATGGGTCTTGTGCGACAGGTGAATGGCGTTTTTTAGTTTGCTCCACCGGGGCCAATCTCCGTTCCTCCAAAGCGCAGCGCTTCCAAATCCACTGCCCTGGAGGCTGGTGGTCCTTCCACGGATGCCCCCGGACCATCCGCTTCGGCATCTCCACCATCTTCCTCCGTCGATAGCCAGCTTGCAGCCCTCCGGTTCCAGATGCAGCACATGGACACTCGTATGGATCGGATGGAGCGTCAAATGGGCGAGATGGCCCAGAATATAGCGCAATATCTTCATCACGTGGACTTTCGACCGCCTTTCCCTCCACAGCCATGATGTATTTCTGCCCTCCTCCGTTTTAAGGGAAGTTTCGTTGCCCTGCTACCTCTGTTTTGCTCTTTCTTTGTTTACATTGGGAGCAATGTAAGGTTTAGATGTGGGGGAGGGTTCACTACGCTTTGAGTCGTGTTTTTAGTTGTTGGGTGTGCATTTTTCTGATTTTAGTAGTTAAACGGTGATGAATGCGATTGAGATATGAGTATAAATAGTAAGTTCATGCCATGGGGTGCTCTGCTTCCCTTAATACGGAATTGATTGATGAATATGCTGAATTTAACATCATTTTGACCACTTGTGCGATTTTTGGGCCTAATCTTTCGTTTGCTTGAGTGGTTATTGCACATGGTTTGTCATCCTAGAACTTGCTCGGTTATGCATGTCGAGACTGCATTTAAATGAGTTTAATGCATTAAAATGATAGGGCACCTAGGAATGAGCCATTTTTGAACTTTGCTTTTGGTTGTCCTACCTTGTGTGAATTGAATTGGGGAGCAGAAACAATCTCGTGTTTTTCCTCCTGTGATGGACCGAAGCGGGAGAATCGAATTGCAAACCTTTCCCAATTCTCCACGCGCGGCCTACTTTCCACTAATGGGGAACTAAACCCCTAATTCTAGTCAAGGGGACAACTGACGATTTGGTTCGGCAATTACTGTGAGATCTAAACCGTTTTTAATTATTTTCTTCATTAATTGATATTCATATGTTCCCTGATTTTAATTGCTATAGCCTCGTGCATGATTGGTTAGTGCGCAATAATTAATTATTCATATAGGCTATTTTGCTAAATAGGGGTAATTGAATCCGTAATTGTTCGTTATCCCTGTCTTAGTAGCAACTGGTATAATTGGGTTTATGTCAGGGGAATATACGATCTAGTTTAAACAAACCCTCGTAGCGTGTTTGTTAATTAGGATTGGGTCTTTCTAATTATTAATGCAATCTAAAAATTAAACCCTACGGTCGTACCTAGGGTTGTTTTTGGGTTAGAGAAATAGCTAACGGTCGTACCTTAGCTATCGATAAATTAAGGAAGGGTTGGTCGTTTAGCGCGTGCGAGACAATTATAACCAATCTATTAATAAATGTGGAATTACCTTTGAATCAATGATCAGTTGCATGAACCATTTCTGAAGTGTACCCTTGGCTAGATGTTTCTCTTAATTATTTCTTTTAATTGATTATTTTCTGCATTTAATTTGTTTAGTTGGCATTTAATCCCAAAACCCCCATTCATCTTGATTTGAAAAGAAGCAAAATATCTTGCTAGTCCCTGAGGAGACGACCCTGCTTACCACTGTCTACTAGTTAGTGATTTCAGTTAAATAATTAATTCAGGTATATCGGATCAAGCAAACTCTTCGGGAACAGGGTGAATCAAGTAACCCATTGCACACCTAGAGTCCCTGCTCCAGTACTCGAATTGATTAATGACTGGTTTAGGTGGTATTTAGGTTTTATTATTTATTATTATTGCACAGGTTCGGCACCTGTCATGAATATAAGAAATGGCGCAGTTCGTAGTTCAACATTATAGGGAAGGTAGTCAGCAGAAGAAAACTTGAGCCTCACTAGAAATAGGAGAAAGACAGAGAACATGCAATAGCTTAAAATAAAGAAAGAAAATGACATAAAGAAATTTATAACGACGTCGAACCCAAAAATAAATAAGAAAGAAAGAGAAACTAATGTACTTAAAACAATTTTTCCATCAGAACAACTCAAAAGGTGTTAGCAGTTTTGCACCTCAAGAGAGTTTAAAAAAAAAAAACCTACAAAGCTCAACATGGAAAGTATTAATATCGATTCCTACACAATAGCAAATTCTATGCTAGTGGAGAAGCAGATCATTTTGGGGGAAAAAAACCTCAAAGGGTGGCGACAGTTGGTAACATTTAACGAAGGGGAGAAAACACGTACATGAGAACCAGTCAGGATTTTGATCAAACAGGTGATCTTCAAATATCTCATCACTCTGTGGTAAAATATGGGTCAAGGGCATTTTTGGCACTAGAATTGTCCCACTCCAACGATTCCCACCATGCTTTATTTCCCTTGATTTTACGAAGAGTGCTGGGAAGAGATGGTTGTCCGTCGATGGTGGAAAGAAACAAAGGCAACCTCTTTACCTTTGGACAATCTAACATTTCAATCTCCTCAATTGAATCGCAGATCATGGTTGCCTTGCAAACGTTCTTCAGTTGTGGCAGGTTATCCAGACGCAACCACCTCAATTTCGGAAGGATGACAGTGGCAGTGGCTCCTTCACTTGAAGTCAATTGGGTGCCTTCTCCTCCTCCTTGTCCTACTCCATTGCCATCTGCTGCTATCTCCTCCAGTCCTTCACAATCTTTAACTGCTAATTTTCCAAGATTTTGAAGGATCTGCAGCAACTGCACCGTGAATAGCTGCTTCATGTTATGATATCCAGAAATGCTCAATTTTTTGAGGGAAGAAAAGGTGCCAGCTGAAAGCAAATATGGTGGTCCGTCGATGGTGGAAAGAAACGAAGGCAGCCTCTTTAAATTTGGACAATCTAACATTGTAATCTCCTCAATTGATTCGCAGATCATGGTTGCCTTGCAAATGTTCTTCAGTTGTGGCAGGTTATCCAGACACAACCGCCTTAATTTCGGAAGGATGACAGTGGCGGTGGCTCCTTCACTTGAAGTCAATTGGGTGCCTTCTCCTCCTCCTCGTCCTACTCCATTGCCATCTGCTTCTATCTCCTCCAGTCCTTCACAATCTTCAACTCTTAATGTTTCAAGATTTTGAAGGTTCTGCAGCAACTGTACTGTGAATAGCTGCTTCATGTTGTCACAGTCAAAAACCCACAACTCTTTAAGGGAAGAAAATGTGCCAGCTGGAAACAAATATGATGGTTCTGATTCTCCGTAAAATAGACCAACCAGATTTGGCAAACTCCAGAGGCGTAACTCTTCGAGACCACGGAGTGGACTAAAAGACGAGTCTTCCGGCTGATCACGTGGAAAAGCAGAAGACAATTGCCAGAGGAACTCTATTCCAACCGAATCCATAATATCCAATCTAGATAAGTGGCTTAAATTTATAAAATTCTTAAAAACATCTGACAAGCACCTAATGCCCATGCCCTCACAATCCTCGATTATCAGAGATTTCATATCATCTGGCAGATAGTTCGATCCTCTACCAAGCTTACACTGATGGAAATGCAGATCTTGCACCAGGAACCGATTAATTCCACCATCAACAAAACTCGGTTCCTCAGTTAAGATGTCATTGATATAAACAGTATAATAGTATTTTGGTCACCGAGTGATTTTATAGAAGTCCATAAAAGACAAACATCCTCCAAAACTTTCTAATTGGTTCAACACTTCTGGATCATTAACTTGTACCCTACCATTGGATGGCAATAATAACAGTTGAAGACGGTGAAATTGGGAAAATGTCCCTTTTGGTATTATCTTTTGGCTTAAAGCCCCATACTCGTCCAAGTTAAGCCTTTCGAGGTTGACCAGTGACTTCCAACCTTCAGGTAAATCCTCAATCTTAGTGTAGGATAGGTCCAAATCCCTCAATTGCTTGAGCTTTCCCAGTGGTGGCACAGATCGGAGGTCCCGACAACCCCTCAAAATCAGGGCAGTGAGATTCACCAAGTCTGAAACAGAATCAGGTAGCTCTATTATACCTCCGCACCGAGATAGATTCAAAACTTTAAGTCCACACATGTGCCGAAAGAATGAATCTGGGATTTCTTCTATGGAAACATCAGAAAGAAGCAAGGTTGAGAGCTTAAGACAATTTGGTGACCAGGCTGGCGGAACTTTTATTTCTGGGTGTGGAGCTGAAAATGAATGAAAGGAGACTGCATGGAGATCTTCTGTCCACTCTCCTTGTTCCAGTGTTACTTTAGAATTTCCCTTTCCTATGCTTTTCACCAAGAACTGTGGTACATCCCCGTTCATCTGTAGGTTGGATTTTCCTTTCGTGATTCTTAATGCCATATCTCTGACCAAATCATGCATCTTCACACAGTCACCCCTTCCGAAATCTTTAGTTTCTTCTAGCAAGCAAACTTTTATCAGTTTGTTTAATATTGTGTGACCTTCATCAAATTCTTTTGGTCTTGAGTCCCGTTTTGGCATCAGCTCTGCCCAAATAAAGAGGTCTATTAGTTTCTCTCTGCTTATATCACTATCTTCCGGATAAAGACAGCAATACAAGAAGCAATTCTTTTCACATTTATTCAGGCGATTGAAACTCCATTCCAGGATGCGAAACACATCTCGTTCCATCTCATGATACCCTATTGAACATGTTTTCAATTGTTCCAATGCATTTCTCCACTCACAAATGTCGGTCACACCTCTCATGCTTCCAGCCACTGTGATAATGCCAAGAGGCAAACCATCACACTCTTCCACAATGGACTTGGCAATACTTTCCAAATCTCCTTGAAGCAAGGGCTCGCTACCAAGTTTATACTTGAACAAATCCCAAGCTTCGCCTGTGTCCAGAGTTTGCAAATCAAACTTTCTTTGACATTGTATCCTGTTGCACACTTGCAGTGAGCGAGTAGTCAAAATCAATCTGCACTTGTTTGGATGAAGTGGAATCCCTACCCTGTCTAAACAAAATTCTTCCCAAACATCATCCAATATGAGTACTATTAATTTCAGCATTTTCCTGAATATGTCACGCAATATTCTTGCCCTGGTGTCTTCCTCGTCCCTACTGGATAGATTAATGCCCAAGACATTGGCAATCTTATCCTGCAAGCTGGTGACACTGAAGTCTTGAGATACTGTAACCCAAAGCACCCGATAATTGTTCTTTTCTAAAAGATGGTACTCAATGTGCCTCGCCAGTGTGGTCTTACCAACTCCACCCATACCATAAATCCCAATGCTTGATATATCATCGGCCACCAAGCATGGCCAAATTCTCTTCAAAGCTTCATCGAACTTTACTCCAAACAATTTGGTTGGCAGGCATGGCTCCCCGATGTTGTCACAAGTATCGAGCACAAGCCCATCGAAACGACGGCTCTGATCAACAAGGTCTTTCACCTGAAATTGCAGCTTTCCTACAGGATCCTCCTTTAGTGGAAGCCTCCAAGATGATCCTCTTGTTTCCAATGCATCAATTTCAGGACTTAACTTTTTAACGTCCTTCAACCAATTGTCAACTTCACTTTTCCTTTTCTTTTTACCTGACATTTCTTCCCTATTGACTTCTTGTTCTACGTCAAATGCTTTGCAACTCAATTCTTGCCAATTCCTTTTTAGCGATTGCACGTTGTCCATGTGACTCCTTCCCGTGCAATTTTCTAATGCGAACTCCACCGTCTTTTCTATCACCTTTTCCCCCGTCTTTTCTGCCAGAGCTTTTCCCCAAAATGGTAGCATCTAGAATTTAAATATATATCAAGCTTAGGTGCATAAAGCAAATTGAAGCAAATCCGAAAATTAAAATTGAAGAGAAACATCAAAAGTTGCCAACGGAACTTAGTCAACACATAGTTTAGTAAAGATTAATAACCAGAAAAAGAAAATGTTTTTCACTCAATTCAATAATTGTTCAGCTATTAGCTAATCTCGAATTCTTCTGACTGAATAGTTCATTCAATATTTGGAGAAATGACAAAAATTCTGAAGATTGATTTTGAAAAACTTAGAATAAAAACTTGATTTTTGAAGCACTAAAGAAGAAAAACTTGATTTTTGAAGCACTAATTTGGTAGAAAGAAGACCGTATAAACATGAAGTTGTCCTATTATGCTGATTCAATTAAGCATTTTAGTAAATGAAACTGATATGCATCTTTTTTTCATAACAAAAAAATTGATATGCATTTGATGTAAGAAAACTTTTATAAAAATTTAAGATTTTACGTAAAAACTACTAAGTTATAAGATTATGGCCAAGATCCGTATATGTTTCCACACTTAACAGAGCCGACGGATTTGAATATCAATTTACTCCTATTGATCCATCCTGTGCCCGGGTCTAGTTTGGTTAGTATTAGTTAGGTAAGAAATGTCAATTATGTAAAAAGCTTGAACAGAGCACCTTGTGCGTTGAGAGAAGAACAAGTGACCAAGATATTTGGGCCTCACAAATCTAACTATAAACATGATGAAATGAGAAACAACTACAAAAATTTACAGATTCAAGATCAAAAGTGATATTTTTCAAAAAAACAAGTTATCATTGTACCTTGAAATTAGAACAAGTTATCTTGAAGATTTGAAGAAGTTGAGAATCCCTGGACTCTGCCAAAAGACAAAAAATTTGTATTATATTTTAATCTCGCTTTCGCTACTACAAGAACTATAATCGTTGAGTTTTGATGAATGAATTATAATTGAATCAAGATGTTGATGCCAAACAAAGCTATTATAACTAAATTCAGAAGAACTCCAAAAGTTACTAAATTCAGATGGATATGATCTCATTATACCTGAAACTGACTAGAAAACTTGAGGAAGCTGAAAACCTTGAGACTCTGCCAAGATTATGTCTTATGATTGTTGCGTGTTGAGGAAAGGATCTAGATTCAATAGAATTAGCCGGATCTGGGAGTGGATCAAACCATTATGGTTCACATTTTATCTTCTCCAAAAGTTGATAAGAATTTGCCCAACAACGCCAAAAATGTAAAAAGCATGAAGAGAGCAATCCATGTCGAAAGAAAAGGAACTGATGTATGATTTTTGTGCTTCGTAAAGCTATTTAAGATCCATTATGCATGATATCATTTACCTTGAAATCTTGGACAAGCAAAATTCTCAGGCCAGGTTATCTTGGAGACGATGAGAACCACAAGACCCTGGCAATAGATGCAAAAGTGTGTATTATATTTTCGTTAGTTTTCACTGCTAAGAAGCAACTCCAAAAATATCGAATTAAGACTCCAACAATTGAACTAAGATTTCTGTGCCAAGTAAAGCAATTATGTACTTGATGAGATAAGAAACAACTCCGACAATTACAAAATTGTGATGGATATGATCTCACTGTACCTGAAATTTTTACAAGCAAGCTTGAGGAGGCTGAAAATCTTGATACTGCCAAAGGTATGTACTTTTTTATGTTTTTCTTTTAATTTTGTACGAGTATGATTGTTGAATTTTGAGGAATCAATGATAAAAGTTGAACTAATAGGAGACCACGTGTGATTTAAAGACTTGAGCATTACAACATCTAAGTCAAGGTCTTCCTTCCCAGTTCATACCATACTGCCATTTTGAAGACTTAGGGTCTGTTTGGTTGGAAGTAAAATGTTTTTCTTGGGAAAATATTTTCCGTGGAAGTAATTTTCCATGAAAATTATTTCCCTTTCATCATTTTTAGGTGTTTGATTAGCTTATTGAAAATATTTTCTTACTTCATTTTTCTGGTGTTTGTTTAACTTTTGAAATATTTTCACTTTTATCTCTATATTTACTTTCTACACATTATAACTACATACTTCTTCCCATGCAAAATAAGAAAATTTATCTCATTGTTTAACTTTAAAAAATCATGGAGAAATGTATATATGAATAAAAAATATCTCCTTAAGCAATAAACAAATTGCTGGCCATTTAGTGTCAAATATCAATCACATGCAATGCTTATTGTGACATATATCTTGCACTCTCACTACTGAAAGTTTCTCTAAAAAAGAATGTCCCTATTATACATAATTAATTACTAGCATAGGATGAGCAGGATGATGTTTTTTTTTTTTAATTTTGAATATACTAGGGGGAGGGTTGGGTGGTACGGAAGAGGGAGTGTAAGGAAGAGGTCTTGGATTCGAGTCCTTCTGTTTCCTTCTGTTTACACTAAAAAAAAAAAAAGAAAAAGAACATATTACAAGATGTTTTCAGTAAGTTTGGAACATACTACAGGCGGGATGCATGCATTTCGGAAAACAACTTCAGTAAATTTGGAAGGGAAGTTGTTTTCCATAAGATGAGTGAAAATATTTTATATAGGAAAATGCTTTCAGTAACTTTTGTGCAACCAAACACGGGAAATTAGGAAAATATTTTCCTGGAAAACATTTTCACCCGAAACAAATGGACCCTTAATGAAAGCTCCTTAAGGAAGTAGGGGACATTTCCAGGAAGTAGGGGACATTTCCAGGAAATGGTGCGGCAAGGACTTTGATGACTAAAGGGAAGAATTTCTGACCCTTGAAAAAGGGGAAGTAAACTGCATATCAATTGCAGCCAGAATTTCTGAGAAGGAGCTGTTGAAGTGCATAGTTGTTTCACAGTTTGTTTTCGGTAGGTTCTGAGTAACTTTTAAAGGCAGGATGGATGCTAATGTAATTGCTCCTGGAAAGTGCATAACAGTTGCAGGATAGGCTTTTTTTTCTTCAGTGCAATTGTTCCTGTCAAACTATTGAAGTGAAATTATCGAGTATTTTCTTTAAGTTAGATTTTTTTCTGTGTATACATCAACATTAAATGGATAGTTTAAATTAAACCTACTCCTTTTTTTTCTTTTTTTAAGAAAAAGTTTTAAACTCAGAATCTTTTAATTACTTATAATTCCTTGATCCTCCATTAAACCATTATTAGACGTCCACAAATTATTTTAATCAAAAGTGGTTACTCAGAAGCAGCTGTGGAGATATTTGCAGATGATTTGCTTTTCACTTTTTATCATTCTTTTTTACATTTTCTTACAGAAAGTAAGAATTTCGGAAATAAACCTAACTCCCAACAGTACCTCCAAAAGCCGGCAACTTTTGAAGGCTGCTGGGGACTTATAACCCAAACCCCAACCCCCCCTAATACCGATGTGGGAACTAACAATCCCCACAGGGGTGCCCCGCTGCTAAGATCTAAAGAGACCCCAGACACCCACTGACACAGGAATTTGTTCTTTCTTACATTTTCTTACAGAAAGTAAGAATTTCGGAAATAAACCTAACTCACTTTTTATCATTCCACCCTCTCCACTATTAGTAGAGGCCTAGAGGGCCACCACCGAAAGGGCAAAGACTTCGCCTTTGACGTTGCCGACGACGACATTGTCGGGAGGAAAGTCCATGAAGCTGCATGCGGGGATGCTTGAAGTGGGGAGTCTTCCCCGTGTCTACCCCTGCAAGTGCTCCGTGGCCCGTGGGGGGCCACTTCTATTTTTATTTGACTTTATTTATATATGTATAATATGCATGATCGGGTTTGTTCGGATAGAGAATTATTAGCCAAAATTTATTTGTTTACATCATCATTACAATTTCCAACACACATTTTTATCTTTCCAATTACCTTTTTATCTCACATACATCACATCACAACAAATGCTACAGTAAAAATATCTCAAATAATTTACAATCCAAACAGAGCCTAAATTTACTAAACATTCTTCTGAATTTTTAACCAAAAATTCAACTTGAAACACAATTTAAAAATTATTTTGATCTTCGTAAATTCATTTCTTCATATATATATATATATATATATATATATATATATATATATATATATCATTTAAATTATTGATAGGATGGAGTGCGAGGTTTCCTTCCCCATCCCTCACTCCATTTAAAGTTGGGGGGCAAAAATGCCCCCTCTTTTCTTCTCTCTTGCCCCCTCTCCGTGCAGCTCCAATTCTTGTTGCCCTCATCGCTATCTTTAAAATTGTTACGTAAAATTAGAGTGAAATAATTGGCATCTTGTGGGTGATTATTTTGCAAAGTAAACACTAGTATTTGTGTCCCTGAAACTAGTTTAACCGGTAGAAACATTAGTCAAGTAATGATCAGTTAAAGATTAGATTGAAAATCTTCTCAGGCTCCCCTTTCTCTCCTGCCTTCTTCCTCTTTATGGGATTTAGTGTCTTCCTTTGAATTAAAAAAAAAATACTAATATTTGTAAGGTATCCATTAATAGTCAAGGTTTCCTTACCTATTTTATGCCAAGTTATTGGAAAAGTATGATTCTAATTTTTTTCCTTTTTCTTTTTATAATGCAGTTGCTACTTTAATCAAGACTCAAAACTTGACAGTTAATATCCTCACGTCCAACTTTCCTTGTAAATCCCAGGTTCAACCGTTCAACTATTACATAGATACATGTGCATAACTATTTTGCTTTTTGCTTTTTGTTATTTTGACAAAAATATAGGTGCATGTCTGTGACTCTCTCTTGAGCCTGATGTTGAAAATTTTAGCATTACTGAAACATGTAGGTGGACAAATTTTGCTTATTCCTCTGATTTTGAGTTGATGCCAACCAACACAAAAGGAATAAGAATCTACTTTTCCAAGGAGCAACGGAGTCCACTCACTAGCAATCATTATACGTGGAAACCACTTACAAAAACCAGCTTAAAAGTCACGGCATTTTTTTCTTTTAATTTATAATTATCGCTTGTCGTATTGTTGTTTAATATTGCTGGTGGACGGGGGTGTTTTCTTCGGGAGGAGGATCATTTCGACAAGTTGAAGGGGCATTAGAAGAAATGAGAAATTTTTTTCTGGCTGCAAGGAAATTGGAGATTTATTTTAACAGACTTGTAGATTTTGTTTGTGACAATAGGATGCGGCTTTATTCTTCTTCTGAATTAGATCAGGCATTGATAAATTTTGATGTGGTACTTCTACTTGTTTCTTTCTCTAATTACAACAATAGGCATTAAAGATTTTGTTGATAACACGTCTCTGTTGCGAAAGCAGAGAGTGCTTTACCACTTGCCAGGCACTAGACTGTGCTGCCTGCTTTGATTTCGTAATGTGATTCCTGAATTCTATATAACCTCCCTCGTGTGAACAGATCCACAATGAGAATCTCATTTTCATGTAGCTATTTTCTTCAAGTTTCAACAGAAGTTAGTGGAACAAGAATCAAATAGTTCCTGAGGGTCATATTGTCTGAAATTTGGACTTACCTAGCTCTGTTCCATCAATACCAATCTTTGGCTTTTCTTTACCCAAAAAAATGCTCCATTCGTTGAGATGACTATAAATGCTCTTAGGAAGTAGGTAAGTAATGCTAATCATAGCCATCTAAATTTTTTTTTTCAATATTGATTTAAAATGCAGCCCAGACGCGTCCCTTGAATCCGAAAGGGATCTAAAACTACTTGAGATCTGAACAAACAAAACCTGGATTAGGCTCAAACTAACTTTGTTGTGGTGTGCAGAGTCCGAATTAGGTGCAAAAAGTAGGCACTTTGACACTTTAATTTTTAAATAAGTATAATTTCAACATTTTTTAAAGTTTCGTTACGAGTAATCATTTCCGTCATTTTGATACTTTAATTCAAATTATAAGGGAATTCTATATAACTTTTGAAATTATAAAAGAATTATGTAAAAAAAAATACTAAATTATAAAAGGGATAAAAAGTAATTTGTCCAAAAATGAATGAATTCCTTCGCGACTAAGGATTCGAATCGGTTCATGCAGAGGGAAAAGATGTGCAAAATGAAACAATGGCCCGCCTATTGTCGACTAACTCCTTTGGCTCTAGCATCTATTCTCAAAAGTCTTCACTTCCGCGTAAAGGGATGTATAACAAAAGCGGGACATGGATGGGTATAATTTTGGCAAGTTTTGTCCGGTTGTGGTATTCAATATACGATGTACCATCACATTTTGTATGTTGTTGTATTTAATATATGTGCAATATGTTATTTATGTACACTAACTTTTTTCCAAAGTATTAACAATATATTATGATTGTATAGCAAATAATATAACAGATATAATAAATGTTAAAAGCTGGATAAAAAGACAACCGTATTTGCCCCAATTCCACTAATATCTATTGCCCTATTAGCAGAGTAGTAGTAATAATAAGGAAGAATACTTGATCGTTAACTTTGACTAGAATGAAATTCAAGGAAAGTGGCAAGGAAACTTCTTTAAAATTTCGAGACCGAAGTTATTTAGGGTTCACTTCGATAATATGTTTTTTGAGTGTATTTTACAAAGTTTGTTGTAACAAACTACAGTTATTTTATGTCAATATTAGAAAAAGAAATGCTGATGTTTATTTAAAATATCCTATTTTTTCAATCCCCTTCCCCCCTCCCCCGCCACCCACAAATGGCAGTCTTTACCACACACCACTAGTATCCTACTTAATGTGTATTTTTTTTTGTATTTTTGAAAACTTTTGGATGCTTTAAAATATTAGCATGATTGATATTTTAAACAAGTTTTTTTTTTATTTTTGGTTAGAATAGGCCATCCAAATAATAGAGGCCCAGCACCGGAATGGAA